AAAATCCCTGGGCTGGAGACCTGGACAGGTTCAAGCCAGCCAGGGTCCCAGTGCTAAGAGGGGGAAGTGGACACAGACCCCATCACCAACTGAGAAGCTATCACCAACTGACAACCGCTTGCAAAGGAAAAATTAGTTTTCTTCAATGGAGTCTTACAGGGTATATTAGTCACACAGAGCAGGCCCCATGCCCAGCGGTAGATGGCCAACACAAAATGAAATCCATGGTATTTTTGTAGACTTTTTTTCTCATATCACTTTATTTGGGGATTTTTTTGTCTGACTCATCTTTTGCTTGTATATTACAGTTTCCAATTTTGTGTTTTTATGGGTTTGCGCGTGTGTGTGTGTGTGTGTGTGTGTGTGTGTGTGTGTGTGTGTGTTTAAAAATTCTGTTTTGTCCACAGAAACAGTTGACTTAACAAGGGAGAGCTCTTGGCCCCCAGACTGATCACTGGGAAACCAGCATGGAACTGATCCAGACTCCATGAATGTGAGTGTCAGTAAGGAGGTCTCGGAAATCTATGGGGCCTCTTATAGTAGATCAGTACTTATCCCCAGCATAGTAATGGACTTTGGGAGCCCATTTCACATAGAGGGATACTCCCCCAGCCTATACACACGGGGGTGGGGTGGGGTGGGTGGGAGGACCTAGACCCTATCCCAAAGGATATGACAGACTCTGAAGACTCTCCCATGGAAGGCCTCACTCTCCCTCAGGAGCAGCAATGGTATGGGATAGGTAGGGTGTTAGTGGGGGGCAGGGAAGGAGCGGAGGGAGAGGGAACTGGGATTGGCATGTAAAACAATCTTGTTTCTAATTTAAATAAAAATGGAGAAAAATTCCGTTTTGTTTGCTTTTATTGTTTTCCTGGTTGTTTTCTAAAGAGAGAGAGAAAGAAGGCATGGAGTTGGGTAGATAGGAAGGAGTTGGCGGAGGGGAAACCATGACCAGAATATATTATATAAACATTATTTTAAGCTAAAATTCAAGCAAAAATTATCCTTATAACAAACAAAAAGGAAAATCTTTCAGGAAAGCTTACACTGGACCTACAGAAAGAGAGCCATGCACATGGCTTTTTGTTAAAGTATTGTTACTTGTTAAAAAATCTGCTTGTCACATTCATATAACAAGGACATATGTTCAACCATGTTCATAGCAGCATTATTTGTAATAGCCAGAAACTGGAAGCAGCCTAGATGCCCCTCAACCGAAGAATGGATAGAGGAATTGTGGTACATTTACACAATGGAATACTACTCAGCAGAAAAAAAAAACAATGGAATCTTGAAATTTGCAGGAAAATGGATGGAACTTGAAGAAACCATTCTGAGCGAGGTAACCCAATCATAAAAAGACAAACATGATATGTACTCACTCATATGTGGACCTGCTTTATGATACACAGTAGTGACCATGCTTTATCAGAGCTGTTTTTAATGATGTTGCTCAGAATGGTTTCCTCCCAGATGATGACTGAGAAACTAATTAAAAAAAATGGTGCTAAGTACCACAAGAGTAACAGAACTGTGCTGTTTTCTGGGATTTTGTTTTTTACTTTTTTTTGTTGTTTGTTTGTTTTTTGTTTTTGTTTGTTGTTTGTTTTTTTAAATGGAGTGTGCTGGATGTCTCTACAATTTTGTTCAAAGGACTACAGAACCTGGAAAAGCTGTTGCTGCTATTGATTCATAACATATTGCCATTATTGCTCTTTTCATATAAATATAAATGTCTTTTTATATATATATATATATATATATATATATATATATATATAAGCTAATTGAAAAAAATATCTGCTTGTTACTATATAGATGCAATCTGAGAGCTTCAAAAAACCATTAATATGTCTTGTGGAAGAAAACAAGCTCATGCTTTAAAATATGAGAATTTTTCAGCAGGCTAATTCAAATGTTAATAAAAAAGGAAATTCCTGAGCATTCAGTTCCCAAATAGGAAGTGGAAAGTAGCAGATGACAAACTTTCAGCAATAGTCTGGCAAGTTGCACAGTACAGTTGATAAGGAGGGATGCTGGAAGTGAAAACAGAAAAGATGGCTTAACTAGGTCTGATGACATGAGTTTAATGCCCAGGACCCAAATGGTGAAAGGAGAGAACCGACTATGAAAGTTCTGTAGTCTTTTGATCTCCATGCGCATCAAGTGGCATGTGTGTGAGCACCCACCTGCATACACACACTCAAAATAAATTGTAAAAATGTAACTTAAAGAGAAAGAAGGAAAAAGAAAACCTGTACCAATTGTGGTAAGAGGATGGAAAGCTTGGGCAGGAAGTAAGTGAGCTGCAGTTTGGAATCCGAAGCTGAGTGGCCAGAATAAGCAGCATGGAGAAAATTTTTTTCTGACATCAATGTGAAGGGTGAGTCAGCCAAGCAGATATTTGGAGATGGGGCTCTCTCATACTAGACAAAGGGAACACCTGGGGAGGAGAGGGTGAAGAAAAGCCCATCCGAAACATGGAGGATACCATGGCAATCAGTAGAGAAGAGAGCTGAAGGGAAGGTGGGAGGAGCCCAGGATGCTGTCTGGTGGAGATGCTTCTGCTTGGTCAGTCTGACAGAAAAGAACAACTAAGAGTCAGAGATGCTGCCAGCAAGTCTGTGCAGGGCTGAAAGGGCCAGGCAAAGGAGGGACACATGGGAAGAGTAGTCAGAAAATTGCAAGGCGTGGGCAATGAGCTAGTACTTCAGTCAGGCGAGGACCTGTCTTCCTGCCCTTGTCCCCAGAGGCATCTGCATTGAATCCACCACCCCGTGTGCTCAATTAGTCAGCCCGAATTCACTCACCAGCCTTCCAATTGAACCCATGTTTGAGGGGCTAACTATGTGCACTGGCCTCTGGGCACATGGACAATTTGGTGACCAATGGATGCAATTCCTCTGTGAGGCCAGATATGAGCCTGTCAAGACTATAAGAGAGTAGCTGACTTGTACTATAGAAATTTGTATTCTCTTTTAACAACTATTTTCTATCTTTACATGTATGACTGTTTTGCTTGTTTGTATGTTTAGTGTATTATGACATCACATGCATGTTGTGCCCACAGAAGCCAGAAGAGGACATCAGATTCCCTAGAGATGGATGTGAGTTACCATGTTGGGGCTGGGAACTGAACCTGGGTCCTCTGCAAGAGAAGTAAGTGCTCTTAACCTCTGAGCCACCTCTCCAGCCCCTATATATTCTTTTAATAAGAGCCCCAGGATTAGGGATGGGATGAAAGATGCAATTCTCTTGGTCCAACTGAAAGAATCTAATTACAGAGATTGTAATTCTCTTGTCTGCTCCATATTCCTGAACCATTTCTACTGTACAAGTAATTGCAACAATTGACCCTACCTGTTAGAACCATTGGCCAAGTACCTCGAATCAGGATCTTTCAGTCATTGAATAAGCAAGCTCGTTTGAAGCTCCAGGTGAGTAGCTCATCTGTAGATATAGGACCCAGCAAGGAATTTGGAATGATTTAGACTACTTACTTTCAGGAAGATGCCCCACTCTGGAGTGGCATAAGGAGGATACTAGAGTTTAAGGAGCAGTACCCTGGAAATAGAAGATGGCTCCTGACTCTCCTCACCTTAGGGGAGTGTGGCAGGGTTTGCACACGACAGACATATGGGATGGGAGGTTTATGAAGTGGGTAGCTACATTAGACATGACACAGAGTCAAGGCGGGTAAAGATAGTGATTTAAAGTGGGTGAAAGTAGTGATCTACATAGGCATTGCTAGTTTTCCATCTTTGGCCTTGTGGGTCAAAAATACCACCTCTGGGGTTTGCATAGCTCTACGGATGTGCTGTTGTCAATAGAAATGCCTCTTATAGTTCTGTTGGCCCTTATATTCTTTTTTTAAAAACTGGGACAAATATTTGTTTTTATTAGTTTTTAAATTGAGGTATATTACTTGTAAAAACACATACCTTTGTGTGTGTTTGCTTTGAGAAGTTTTGACACACACACTAGACATTTCAGTCATGCCACAGAACATCCTACAAAATTTCCTGACCTCTTTCAGGTTAGTTTGCCTTCCACAGTGGTAACTTTTGACATTTGTATCCTCACATTAATTTTCATTTAAAAAATTAGTTCCATTGTTACTATTGTGGCCACACATGGCCATGAGTCTTTAGATGCTGTAAATGTGCTTTCCTGTTCAGAGTTTACTTCTTTGGACCCCAGATCCTTTCTTTTCTTTCCTTTTCTTTTGAAACAGGGTCTTGTGATATTTTGTTCGTGTTCTTACAAATAAAGATTGCCTGAAGATCAGAGAGTGGAACTGGCCACTAGTTAATCATAGAGGTCTGGAGTTCTGCACAGACAGGAGACAGGAAAGGATAAGATGGGGCAGAGAGAGGAAGTGATCCACGGAGCACACAGGAGCTCAGCCCTTTTCAGGGTGAGTCAGAACAGTAAGAGATGACTATGCGGCTGGTCCTTCACTTCTCCGATCTTTCAGCTTTTACCCCATATCTGACTCCGGGTTTTTATTATTAAGACTAATTAGGATTTTGCATCAGGGTCTCTGTAGTCCAGCCTGGCCTCAAACTTACAGCCATCTGTTTGCCTCAATCGCCTGAGTATTGGAACTACAAGTATGCGCCTAAGATCGATGTTTAGTTATTGTTTAAGATCGGGAATGCTTGTTAACACACTATTTTAGCTTTTAGCATGATTCTACTCAATTAGATAATACAGGCTGCCTGATCTTTTGGAATACCAACAGCTTATGAATTGAGTGTAGAATCTGTAGATTTCAATGGGAATTCATATTATCTCAGTCCTTAGTAGACTCTGAAAATGTTCAGGGGAGCAGTGTCTTCAGTTCACAGACGACGATTCTATATATAATGTAGAATCCATTAGCCTTTGATGCCAAGACTGGAGTTTTCTTTTGCTTCATCCGCTGTCCTTGAATGTATGAACACAAGGACAGAGTCTCTTATTCCAAAACTCAATTTTCTTGTTTGTTCTCTGACATTTCATAGGTTACCCATTCCTTCCAGTCTCCAGCACAGTGCTGTGTCCAATGATAATGCTGTGTCCATGGCCTGCTTATTTCTTACTCCAGCGAAACAAGAAAACACTAGACTGTCAGATTTGGATGGCTTCACTTCATGGTACTTCTCTATGAAGTCCCTTGGGTTCATCTGTAGAGCTTCACCTACCTCATCCAATGGTATATTGATTGATCCAGGTATTTTTCCATGCTCAAAAATTTCCCATGTATCTCTAATATCAATTAACGTAATATTTTTGGAGTTCAATAGGTTTTTTAGTTCCCTATAAGTGACATCTTTAGGAAGAGTAGAGTAAAAATGTTGGCTGCTTCCCCATATTGACTTCAAACCTCCAAGAGCAGCCTCTACCGATCCTAGTGCCGCCCTGTGTGAGGCCCCAAGCACCCGCATGGCCAGCATCACTGTGGGCTCTCCGGCCCCGGGTGCTGTGGACTATTTCCTCCTCCTCCTTCCCGGCTTCTCACCGTGGGCACTGTCCAGGCTCTTGAGCGCCCCGCAGTAAGCGCTGGCAGAACGGGGTATTTTGATAAAGAGGTGTGCTGGGAAAGCTGAACACACAGGAAGTGCACTTGGTTTTTATTCAAACTTCAGTGGTGACTGCCTTTTCCCGTTGATTGGGGTCTGATGTCGCAGTCTTAACTGAAACGAATTGGTGAATAGAAAATGAAGGAGAACGGAAACACTGCTCTAGGCCATCAAATTCCTGGAGTGCAGTAGTGGACCTTTGTGTAAACAAAGGTTTTACTGGGTGTTGGTGGGAATTGAAACATTTGAATAAAGCCTGACAAGGGTAGGGGAAGGGGAGAGTAAAAAGATTTGAATTCCTTGTCCTAAGCACAAGTTTCATAGTATTTGTTATGATAAAGCGCAAGGGGAACCTTTGTGGATTCCATGGCAGGTGAGAATGACAAACATGTCAGGCAGACAGAGCTTAAGTGAGAAGTTTTATTAGAAAGGGAGGGGGGAGGAAAGAGAGAGAAAAGAGGTAAAGAGACACAGAGAGGACCAAAGAGAAGAGGGAGTCAGGAAAAGTCCTGTTTGCCCCAGGGGAACACAGGAGAAAGAAAGGAGCAAAAAAGGGCCCTTATATTCTTATCTTTCAGGTAAAGGCTGAAATTGAAAAGTGACACATAACTTGGGCTCAGAGGTGGGTTATTCAACTGCCTCTGAATGGCATTGCCTTCCCAAGATAAACCAGAAGATAGTCTTTCTGAGCAGTTATCTCTGAGGCCAGCATTACCCACCAATGGACTCCAGGGATGTTGGGTAAGGGTAACATTGGGGAAGCTGACATAGTACTGTTCTAGAACCTTTCAGAGTGGCTTTGGCAGAATGGACACCTGCTTTTCACATGTGGACATGGTGTTGCAATGAAGAATATTCCATTGGTATACAGTGTTGCCATCTTATCAAGTGGAATGTAAGTAAAGGGTGTCAGCATGACTGTAAAACAGCCTTGCATGTCTTTCCTGAGCAAATCCTTATGTACTCCCTGTAGATTAGGAGGGCAAGGTGCTCTCCTTGGTGATCCTCTTTGTTGGAATCAGGCAGACCTGAAATGTGACTTCTCAATTCAATTTTTTTTTTTGCACGAGATACTAAACATCTCCCACCCCTTTTCTTCTCTTTGTAATTGGCCCCAAACATTCCATGATCTTGGCATCTCTCTCTCAAATGTTACCATAACAGCCGTCTTCCACCTAGCCAGGCTATTTTCATGTGTTGTTTTCTTGGGGTTTGAATACTTATTTCTTTGGGACTTTGGGTTTTGCTTTGTTTGTTTGCTCATTTTTGTACAAGTGGGAATTGAACTCAAGGTCTCATATCTGCTAAGTAAGTGTTCTATCACTGACCTATGTTCCTAGTCTCTCTGGACTTTTGTATATCAAAAACTATACATACAAATAATAGCTAGGCTCCAAGAAGAGTCATCCTGATGTGTCTAATGTGCTTCTCCCATTGGGCTACTTAAGAGTAACAAGTTAATATGGAGGGCACAATGCTGGGGCCCCTAGGAAGCTAGCTAAATCTCAAGCCACATTTAAATTTGGAGTAGTGGTGGTGCAGCTAGTAATGCTCCCACTGTTTCTTTTTGTTCTCCACCTGTTCAAGATACCTTGGTTATGGTGTTTGGTTTTTTTTGCCTCATTTCTTTCTCAGTGATGTATAGTAGTTGGCTGACAGTATATTCTTCTTGAAGGGCCAGAAGAATATATCCAGAACACATTCTGACATTTTGTAAAAATAAGCTTAAATTTTACAGGGAAGCATGGGTGCTCGCATATGAATATGCATTTAGGGGGTTGCACATGGACATACGTGGGCATGGGCATGTGTGTGGAGATAAGAGGTCAATGTCAAGTTTCTTTCTGAGTCACTTTCCATCTTATTTTTTGAGACAGGATCTCTGTAAACTATGAGCTTGCTGACTTAGCTAGGTGAGGCTGCCTGGCCACCGAGCTCCAGGAATCTGCCTAACTCCCCAACTTTGGGTCTGTAAATATGTGATCCTGTGACAAGGTTTTTGTATATTGTTGCTGGGGATTAAATTCATGTTCTCATACTTGTATGGCAAGCAATTTAATGGCTAAGCCCACTCCCCAGTAGCCACGGCACAGATTATGTCTCATATTTTGGCAAGCTGTACTAAATAAGAGGAGTCAGAATGGGATACCATGCATGGAGCTAAACCTCACACGTGTCTCAATGTGTTCTGTTGCTGTGATGAAACAACATAACCAAAAGCAACTTGGGAAGGAAAGGTTTTATTTAATGTTACAACTTGTAGTCCATCATCCAGGAAAGTCAGGACAGGAACTCAAAGCAGGAACCTGGAGGCAGGAACTAATGCAGAGGCCATGGAGGAGTGCTGATTACTGGCTAGCATGACTTTCTCAGTCTTGTTTATACAATCCAGAGTGACCAGCTCAGGGGTGGCACAGCCCACAGCGAGTGTGTCATTGCTACATCAACCATCAATAAACAAAACACACCACAGGCTTTCTCATAGTTAAGCTGGTAGGGAAATTTTCCCAACTGAGGTATCCTCTTTCCAAATGATTCAAGCTTGTGTTGAGTTGATATAAAAGTTGCTAGCTCAATCAACCCCTTGTGACTTCGACACACAAATGCATCACTATTAAACCATGACCTATCCTTTCTTGCTATCCACAAGATTTCATGTTAATATTATAATATAAAAATAATATTATAACATAAAATAATAAAACATAAATCATAATATAATATATATAATATAAAATTATTTTTTGAGACAGGGTCTGCCTATTATGTAGTCACGACTATCTTAGAAATCAAATGTAATTTAAAAGTCCCACAGTCCTTAAAATTCAAACATTCAAAACTTCAGCTTCTTTAAAATAGCCAAAGTATCTATAAAATTTCAAGGTTTCTTGAAAATACCCATGGTCTTACAACTGTGAGCTCCTGTACAATCCAAAAACAAGTAAAATACTTTCTTATCCCAAGAGAGAAAAACCAGGGCATAGTTACAATCAAATCTTAGCAAAACCAAAGTTCAACAATATAAAAAGCTCGGTGCTTGATGTCTGGGAGCCACTTACAATCATCTGGGCTCTGAAAGGGCTGGGCAGCTACTAGCTCTACTTCTTGGGCCTACAATCTGCAGCACATACAAGTTGTCTCTTATGTTCAGGTCGGCCCACCCCATGGCTGCTGCTGTCCTTGACATTTGCTCCATGGTACTGATGTCTCCAAAATGCTGGACCTTCAGTTGCAATTGCACCACACTTTCACCAGTAGCTTCTTCTTGGCTCTCTTCAGGGTCTCTAACAGTGGCACATGGTATCAAGTCTCAGTTTCTCTTCATGGCCCCTTCAATCCTGGGCATTCTACTACAACTGAGGCTGTACCTTCACCAATGGCCTTTCCTGTCAGCTCTCTTCAGGGCCTCCAGTCCTGCCACACAGTACCAAGACTCAGCTACTCTCCCCAAATCCTTTATGCCTTCAAGACCAGTATCAACTACACTAATAGGTTTGGCTGCCAGCATGAGGTAGAACCTTGGCCATTTCTGGAACACAGCTTTTTTTGTGGTGACCTAATAAAATACTCAAAGAAGATTTCATCCATGATACTAATCTCTCTCTCTCTCTCTCTCTCTCTCTCTCTCTCTCTCTTTCTCTCTCTCTTTCTCTTTCTCTCTCTCTTTCTCTTTCCCTCTCTCTCTTTCAGTTTAGACAGGGTTTTTCTGTGTAACAGTGCCAGCTGTTCTGGAACTCACTTTGTAGACCATGCTGGCCTTGAACTCACAGAGATCTGCTTGCCTCTGCCTTCTGAGTGCTGGAATTAAAGATGTGTGCCACTGCAGCCTAGCAAAAATCACTCATTTTGTTTTGTTTTTGTTTTTCTGAGACAGAGTTTCTCTGTGTAGTCTTGGCTGTCTTTGAACTCACTCTGTAGACCAGACTGGCCTTGGTCTTGAACTCACAGATCTGCCTGCCTCTGCCTCCCCAGTGCTGGGATTAAAGGCAAATACAACCAGTGCCCATCTTCTTAGTTACTGCTAATTTCTCACCTCCACCTGACCAGCATTTATTGTTCCAGCAAAGCAAAGGTTTTAGTTTAGTGGTTCTTAACTCAAAAAAATCAAATCAACAGCCTGGTAGAGGTCTTTATTTCCATCTAAAGAGTTTTTTTAAAGGTAGTCCTCTACCATCTGCATTATATTCTACATTCCCATAACAGCTCATTAAGCTCCAAGTTCCCAATGGCTTTTCTAGACCAAAGTTCTGAAGTTTTTCCTCAATGTTCCCCAAAACACACTGTTCAGGTCTGTCACGGCAACACACTACTTCTGGTACCAATTTCGGCCTTAGTTAAGACTTTTTGTTGCTGTGATGAAGCACCTGACCAAAAGCAATCCAGGGAGGAAAGGGTTAAAGTTAGGGCAGGAACCTGGAGGTAGGAATTGATGTAGACGCCATGGAGTGCTGCTTATTCGTTTATTCAGCCTGGTTTCTTGTACTTCCCAGGACCAGCAGCCCAGGGATGATACCCCCTCCCCCCATAGAGGGCTGGTCACTCTCATAGCAATCAATGAAGAAAACGCAGCAAAGCTTTCTCACAGGCCAATGTGGAGGGGACAGCATTTTATTTTCAGTTGAGACTCTCTCTTACAAATGACTACAGCATGTGTCAAGTTGACATAAAACAGCCAGCACAATATACGAGGTAGCACCTGCTCACTTGAAAGCGGGCAGTACCAGCTTTGGGTTTGATTTTTCCTTAGGATATACTAGGAACTGACTGAGTTCCTTCTCACTGTCTGTGACACCCATTGAGGGCACTCAAAATAGGCTCCATGACTGGGACCAAGGCTGACTTTGATGTCCATGAAGACCCACAATGGCCAGTCCCTGTGCAAAAAGATTACAAGTCAGTACAATTTGTCAGTGTCACTAATCTTGCAGTGAG